GAGATCCTGTACCTCAGATTGTAGAACCTTTATCAGTGCAGCCATGTGGATGAGTCACGGCCATTGCTTGGCCAATGTGCTCTCTGTGAAAGCCTGAAAGAGTGTCTTCTCCCCATGTGACTCTCCTTAGCAGGCTGGTCTTGAACTTGCAACAATCCTCCTGCCTCAGCCTCCTGAGTGCTGGGATTACAGGTGAGTGCCACAATTGCAGGCAAGCACTACCATGCCTGGCTACCAATGTTGAAGACAAAATGCAGGTTCTTACACATGCTGCACAAGTATTACTGTGGAGCTGTATTTGCAGCCCTGCCTTTTCATTCATTTGGTAGTGTTTTGATAGATTCTTTTTTTTTTTTTGCCGTACCAGGGATTGAACTCAGGACCTTGTGCTTGCCAGGCAAGCACTTATTACACTGAGCTATCTCCCTGGCCCTGATAGATTATTTATTTATTTATTTATTTGTGTGTATGTGTGTGTGTGTGGCGCCAGCTCAGCCCACCAGGGGGTGGGGCTGGCTGGCATGTGGTGCTGGGGATTGAACTGCGGTCTCTGCTTTAGTTTAGCTTGTTCTAAGTAGGTGCTTTAGACCACTGAGCCATCTCACCAGCCCCTTGATAGATTCTTAATTCTTATGAAATACATATTTTTATGATTACTTTTTTTGTGTTCTGTTTTAAGACATCTATGCTTTGCCTAAAAATAGGAAAGTATTTTCCATGTTACTTTATAGAAATTTCCTTTTGTTTTTCTCAAGTTAACTCATACAATATAAAGTAATTCTGTAATTATGGACAGTGAGAGTGAATATTCACCTCTTATTCTATGGTTATTTGTTTAACCTAGCACTATTTAATGAAAATACCATCCTTCTGTATCCTGTAGCCACTTGTTTTTACAGATGAGATGACTGGGCTGAGGGGATATATAGCTCAGGAGATAGAAGACAAGTTGAGCATGCATGGAACTCTGGGTTTGAATCTCAGCACCATGTAAATGGCACCAACAAAAATCAGTTGATTATATAGATGTGGGTATGCTTCTCATGATGTTTCATTTCTTATTCTTGCATTATCATCAACATAATATGCTAAGTATGCTTGATTGTGTGGGTCACTCTTGGTTAAGCATTTACATATATATTTTGGAATTTTCTTGTCAGTTTCCACAGATTTGGAATTGGAATTGAAGCTGTATATCATTTTTGTTTTTTTTGTTTTTCAAAGTTTTATTGACAAACAGATAGCAATGAGACAGTTTCAAATCATATCGGAAGGACAGTTTCAACAAATAATACACTGCATATATTCTTCTTAGTGGTTAATTGCTGTACAAGATGTATATCATTTTTGAGAGAACAAGTCAACAATGTTGAGTTGATTTATGAACATGGAGTATCTTTCCATTTACTTAGATATTTTGAATTTTTGCTAGGTAATGTTTTATAAAAGTTACAGTTTTCTTTGTAGAAGTCTTATGCTTCTTTTGTTATTTATTCTGAGATATTTGATGGTTTTTGATTTTATCATAAATGATATTTATATGGGGGCGTGTTTTGAGATTGTCTTGCTTTGTAGTTCAGGTTGACCTTGAAACTCCTGGCAATCCTTCTGTCTCAGTCTCTGAATGCTGGGACTATAGCAGTGTGCCTCCAGCCCTGGTTGACTGTCTTCTTGGCCTCACTCTCTGGAGTGCTGGGATGACAGGCATACATCACCATGCCCAGGTGTAAATGATATTTAAAACCACTCGTAGCTGGGCCAGGGAGATGACTCAGTAGAATAAGTGCCTGCCTGGCAAGCGCAAGATCCTGAGTTCAATCTGGTACTACAAACAAAACAAAATGAAAACAAAACAAAAAAACTACTCGTAGCTGACAGAGCATGCTTGTAGTCCCACCCTGTAGGGTTGCTTTGAATTCGATGATGAACTGTGTCTTAAATACCCCCGCAAAATAAAATCCATTTGTGAGCTATTTGAGGTGTATCACATGCTTATAATACTGGTACTTGGGAGGCTGAGATATGAGGATTACGATTTAAGAGTACTGCCTGGGCAGTTTAGTGATTTAGGAAGACCCTGTCTTAAAAAAAAAAAAAAAAAAAAAAAAAAAAAAAATTAAAAAGGGCTGAGGATGTAGATAAGTACAAAGGCCCTTTTAATCTTTAGTTTGGGGGAAAAAAGTCACCTGTGGCCAGCATATATGAATATAGCTGATTTTTGATGGGGGAGGTGTCTCTGGGGTATTTTGCAGTATTCTCAGACATCATTTCATCAATAAATTTGAAGTCACTTTTTTGTTCAGTGTACTCTTGTATTCTAAGTTGTGCATTGTTTTTGGAATGATATTTCTAATGTCAAGGTTTAAAGATTTATAAAGAATGGCATATTGATGGTCAGTGTTTGATTCTGGGGATAGAAAGCTGATTAAAATGTTGGCCCCACCCTTAAGGAGCTTAGAGTCTGCTGGAGTAAGTAGAAATTAAAGACCTTCGTTTTCCACCTGGAGAGAGGTACTATGACGGAAATTAATTTGGCAGGATACAAAAGTGTTATCTAACTCAAACTAGGAAAGGGGACAGTAGTCCCCTTATCTCTCCACCACCCTGTGTCACTTCTGAGATCTTTCAACCAAGCTCTGAAAATATTATATACAAAATCCCAGAAATAATTTAAATTGCATGCTGTTAGGTGATGAAGTCTTGAGCTGACCTGCTCTATCCAGTGTGATGTGAAACATCCTTTGTCCAGCATATGTAGGCTGTATGTTACTAGGTAGTTGCTTATTCAATGTATTGGTGTTGTAGGGCTTGTGTTCAAGTACTCCTTATTTTACTTGAGTGTTCCAAAGTGGTAGAGCAGAGATGCTGGCAG